ATGTCTTCTCTGCAACGTGAGAATCTCACTATATGCATTGTGTCTTTAGATTGATACAATGCTTCATAAGCTTGAAAAGGAAATTGATGATGTCGATGCCAAGATTGGGGATCGTTGGCGATTGCTGGACAGGTTGTCTATTTTCCACCTTCTAGTTGACGTGAATTCCACATCAGTGCGAATCATACGAGTATAACTATAGTAATCATACTTCTTTGTAGGGATTATGATGGCAAAGTGACAGCTGAGGAGGTTGTATCTGCTGCTATGCATCTTAAGGACACCTTGGGCAAGGAGGGAATTCAGGAAATTATCAGCAGTCTCTCCAAGGATAGAGGTATTCTTCTGCCTCTTTTTCTTGCCCTTGGATGTTTAAATTACGCTGAAATTGGTTTTGTGTCACATAAAGCTGAGGTATTGGGAGTTTGGTTTAAGTTTAACCCTAGTTGAAAATTTAGTAACAACCCTCTTAACCATCATGGGCCAGTTGGCCTAGTAGTCGATAAAAGTCGTGAAAATGATAAAAGGGCTAAGGAGAATGTGTTTGGTCCATAGTGGTCATCTACCTAAGATTTAATATTGTTCGAGTTTCTTTAACAATTAATGTAGTAGGGTCAGACGGTTGTTTGGTGAGATTAGTCGAGACGTGCATAAATTGAACTTTGTTATCTTTGAGGTTAGTGTCTCATAATTATAGCGGGCGAGCAGCCATGAGTCTAATTCAGGAGTGGGAGCCCGTGTACCCTTTTGCCTAAAAGAAAGTGAGACCCTGCTATGTACCATGATTGTGAATATAAGACAATGGTTTGAATTACCTTTTGTAACAGCTCAATTCCATCGCTAGCATATATTGTCCTTTTTGGGCTTTCCCTCACAGTTTTAAAATGCGTCTGCTAGGGAGAAATTTCCACACCCTTGTAAAAAATGTTTTGTTCCCCTCTCCAACCAACGTGGGATCTCACACCTTTATACTTTACCATAAGAAAGGAGAAATAGTTGTCTCTCATCGGTTACAATCAACCAAACCTGCTCGTTTTTTGGCCATATGATGCATTTTCGTTAATGAATCTCACATGTTGCTACATTTTCTTATGAACAGAAGGAAAGATTCTTGTTGAGGACATTGTCAAATTAGGCAGTGCAACAGAGGATGCAACAGAAGATGCCAATGCGTCTGAAGCAGGAGGAAAGTCATAAGGGAACTTTGGCAAGTTGACGGTACACTTCAGTTTTGCTCTTTTCAACTCATGAAGCATTAGTTTCAGTGTCCATGAGATTGCTTTTTTGTTCCATTAGTTAAATGACAGTAATACAACTCTAATGAAGATCACAATAAATAAGAAATTCTTTTTGAAGCCAATAATAAATTGTTCTTTTGAGGAAAGCCTTTACTTCAAATATACATATGGTGGAAATTATCATCTTGATGGTGATCATCTTCCATTTGCTATTCAAGATATGTTCGTACCCTTAGATACATAGTGAAATTATGATTTTTTTTGTTCTTCCCTTGTGTCCAACGGTATAAAATTGTTAGTCACGTTAGTTCGACATCTTCGAACAATTTCTTTCAGGAAAGTAGATGTGGCCTGACATTAAAAGGGGGACGTTTCTATCTAATTTTATTATTTTTAAGCCATAGTGTAACAACCTAAGTCTACCGCTAACAAATATTGTTCGTTTTAGTCCATTACGTATCGCGGTCAGCCTCACAATTTTAAAATGTGTCTGGTATGAAGAGGTTTCCACACCTTTATAAGGAATGCTTCGTTTCCTTCTCCAATAGATGTGAGATTTCACAATCCATCCCTCTTGGGTGCCTAGCTTCCTTGCTGGCACACTGCCTGGTGTCTGGCTTTGATACCATTTGCAATAACCCAAGCCAATCGCTAGTAGATATTGTTCGCTTTAACCCATTATGTATTGTTGTTAGCCTCACGGTTTTTAAAATGTGTATGGGAGGGAGAGGTTTTCACACCCTTCCTCTCTCCAACTGATGTCAGATCTCACACATAATGGCCAACAATTATTCATCTTTGTACTAATTTTGTAAATTCGTTTTCTTAACACCTGATGCACTTTTTAAGCCCTATTCGTTCACGAACAACAATTGTAATAACAGTCGGCTAGAAGATGTTCTCCGTTTTAGTCTATTGTGTATTGTCAATTCACTATTTAAAGCGCGTCTATTAGGGAGAGGTTTTCACACTCTTAAAATGATTTGCTCTCTCTCAATGGAATAGAGAGATTTAACCGATCCATAATTGGAAATGAGGCTTGAAGCCTTGAGGGACTTGGACATAGGCGGGACTTGGACATAGGCCACACCTAGTCAAGTCATGAACCTTCCCTATGTACTCTAGAAAGGTCCATGCTCATGTAGCCCAACAAGTATGGGGTTGTATTCTACATCATAATTTCATAATTTCATATCTTCAAGATCTTTCTCACTCTAGTGTAGTCTTAGTTCATTCAACTCTCCTTACTCGAACGCTTTTTTGTTTGGTTAAAGTTTTAAAATTAGTGTTCAAACTTAAAGTAATATATAATATAAGAAACCAGGGAATTCTTGAATGACGGTACTAGAGAATTCTACCGTACTCTGTACAGCTATTGTTGTTGTTCCTGCAAAGCCTACCCAAAGGTTCAGGTCGGATTGTAGGATGTGGGCGACACGTTTTTGTATTTCTATGAGAAGCTCTACGGCACCCACGATTCCTAGTAATAAGTTGTCAGCATATCGCACATAACAAATCCTTATTAAGTAATGGGTTGTCAGCATATTGCATCCTTGCTTAGCTCTATGAGCATGCCTTTTCTTTTACAATACTTAAAAGGGTCTCTCATGGCCAATTTCTTATTGCAACGTTCTCGACCATAGAATTCGCCCTGAGGGGTCAACCCGGTGGCTTCTATGCGGAAGGCGGCGCAAAGGAGGCTTGAGAGCTTGTTAAGGAAGGCGGCAAGGGTTGGGGAAAAACCGAAAGGCGTTTTCTGGTCCCCTGAGCAAGCTGATGCTTGTGTGTCGGGTGTGCCATGACAATGTGTGTGTATATATATATATATAATCTATTTTTAATAATAAAAAAAATCATAATTAATTACTCATTAAAATTATATTTTCAAAAAATATTTTGAGTTCGGATTTTTCAAAGGTAGTCATTGGCGTACAAGGGTATAAATGTAAAATAATGTGTAATGGTTTCAAATTCAATAAATATCAAAAATATTTTTACATTTTTTGTTTAGATAGTGAAAATTATAAAAAAAAGATTTTTTTTTATTTTTTTTATTTTATGTTTCTTGTTTATATATATTTTGAATTTTAAATTCTAAAAGACATAATTTTAATTACAAAATATTTAAAAACTAATGAAATATTTATTTCATGCTGAAATTAAAATATGCATAGTAAAATACACTATACATTAAATGATATTGTAAAATAATAATTATAAAAATGTATTACAAAAAAATATGCTCACCAATTAGTTTTTAGTATTTTATATTTAATTTAATATTCAAAAAATAATTTAATCTCCTAACGAGTTATTGTAATAGAAGATAGACCCATTAAAATAACGTCGCACGGTTGCCAACTCGACCGCACAAATTTTATTTTTCTCAAATTTTTATTAAAAGACTTATTATGTGAAATATATAAAAAAGAAAATTTAAAATATCATGAAAAATATGTGTATTTTTAACGCGACTACTTCAATGTTGACATGATAAGTTTATTGAACTAATAGATGATATTTTGGTAAGATCTCATATGCATGAACGATAAAGGAAATTAGCAAAGAAAAAAAAAAGGGATTGGGAGGAAAAAATACACGCCGGACCATTTTTTAGGAACAATCTTGGCTGCATACTGATGTCGAGGAACAATCTTATCATGACACCCGAATAAAGAAGGAGTACATAAATGCATCGAGACTACATCTAAATGAAAATGATTAGAAAGATAGAACGATTAAAAAACACTTATAAGAACTGAAAGTCAACATCTATACCAATAAGGTGCACCTTTTCTTGTTGGTGACTCAATCACAGAAACTTCATTGGTAAACGTGTTTTGCTTATAAACGAGGAGTAAGTAACATGGTCACGTCGCAGACGAATGTGGAGGTCATCGGGTGCTGAATCCAGATTCTGAATCATGGGTATGGTTACCATGTCGCAGAGGAATGCCGAGTCTATTAAGTGCTGAATCTAGATTCCGAATCCTAGTAGTTTTGCCCAAGCTCACTAAACTGCATACTATTTTACTCCAAAGTTTACAACTCGTTAGGTAACAATTCTCACCGTGAAAGATTCTATTAAAATTAAGTATTAATTTTTATTATGTGACAAATTTGTCAAACGAAGGGCCGAGACTAAATTGAATGCCGTAAATCTTTTTGCAACTACTCCACATGAACAAATCACTTGAACAAGATACAATAATTAAACCTTCCTAATTTTTTATTATTATTTCATTACGATCAAATTAACGTCTATATTCAAATATTTTTTTTAAAAGGTTACGGGTAATATTGAAATATTAAATTTTTAATGAATATTTATATTAATATCGTTTTTAAATAATTTTTAATTTATTTCATTTCGGCAAAATTAGAAGGGTAAGAATTTAATGGACAAAGTTATAACAAAAAATTGTTTGATAATTCATTGGTAATTAATATGTATTTATTATCTTCGGATTGTTAATGGTATATTAATTTTTTTTTTATTTTTTTTTTGAAAGTTTAAGGATAATATTAAAATATTAAAAAAATATTTAATCCCAGAGGGGGGAAGAATGAGAAAAGTAGGATAAATTTTGAGGAAAATCCAAGCTTTACCAAGACGGCTCTTTCCCAAAGCTTGTTCAAAAATTTGAAAACTTTTCATCGAAAACTCAAATCTCATACTCAAAAAACACTCTCCAATGCCTCTCCGACGCGTGTGATCATGACACCTCCTTTTGTGTTCATTCAGCCGCGTTTATTTTTTGTTCCCACTGTTCCAAAATTCTCCAAGCTCCGAGCCAGACCCGTTTCTTCAAGCCCTCCTCTCTCAATTTCGTACAGATTCCTTCGCTCTCTCACTTCAAATTGTGGGTCAACTCGGTCCGATCCGGTTCGCTCGCTCTTCTCCTCTCCTGATTGCTTGTTTCCTCACTTGGGTTCGTACCCACTTCTCCTTTTCCTCATTTTTTGACTTCCTTCGACGATTTTGCTTCCTGGGATTTCTTGCTCTATCTGGGTTCTCATTGTTTTTGGCGTTTGTTGTCGGGGTTTTGGTGTCGGAGCTTCTGTGCGAAGTGTTTGATTTTGGGAATTCGGGTCTGTTCTTTTGTGGGTTCGAAGTTCTGGGGTTTGTGGTATCTGGGTTGTTTGTCGTTTTTAGTTCTGGGGTTTGTAGTTGTCGGGTTTTGTATGTGAAATTTGGGTGGAATTGCCAAATTTGTGTGTTCAGAGGTGGAAATTGGGGGGTTTTTTCTCTTGGGCGAAATTAGGGTTTCTGTTGTGAATTAGACGAATTGGTTGTTTATAGTGTTCTTGATGGTGGAGAAGATGATTCTGGGGCCCAACCGTGTCTGAGAATTTGGGTTGTTTGGAGACTTTAATGGGATTTTGCGACATCAGGAAGAAGGTTTGGGAAACAGTTTCTTTGTTAAATTTAAGGTCTCAGAGGTGAAGTGAAAAGATGTTCTATTCTCAATTCATATTGGCCAAGAAAGGGCCGCTTGGGACAATATGGATAGCGGCACATTTGGAGAGGAAGCTGCGGAAAAATCAAGTGGCAGACACTGATATCGGTGTCTCAGTAGGTTAGTTGCTTTCTTTTTGCTCTATGTTCTTGGTTTTTGTCATTTTTCCTTTCCTTAAACACATCAAAGTTAGAACATATGACAAAACTATGAAAAACAATAGATGAACAGTCCCAAATGGCGGCTGTTGACTGAAAATATGATTCGTGTTGTATTCAGCTGTGTGTACTCTTTTTTTAAGGGATGAATTTAGTGATTTTAGGATGTACTGTTATAAGTTGGAAGGGTAAATTATTTTCTCATGCGGGGAGAATGTCTAGACCGATTATTGTTTTGTCTTAATGCGTTTCTTGTGTATTATACTCGTTCTAAGAACGTGTATCGTCTTTTAAGTTGAGGTTTTTGTAGCTTACAGCAATGTTGGTCAATGTTTTAAAAAGCTATTGAAGGCTCTACGGGACCAAGTTTACTTGTAATCAATAATTCCAAATGTCATACGATTCGTATTTTGTTTTTGAATTTTTGGAACAGATTCAATTCTTTTCCCCGACGTGCCAATTGCACTACGATTGTCCAGCCATCTTCTCCTTGGGGTGGTGAGGATCTATTCGAGAAAGGTGGGTTACCTATTTGACGATTGTAGTGAAGCTCTGCTTAAGGTAAAGCAAGCGTTCCGTTCTACTGATGTTGACTTACCTCCTGAAGAATCGACTGCTCCGTATCATTCCATTACTCTGCCCGAGACTTTTGATCTTGACGATTTTGAGCTTCCAGATAATGAACTTTATCAGGGGTTAGTTCAAGGTTTTTTAGTTATTTTTATGTTAAACCAACTGCTATAGCAACCGACACATATTGTAGCACTTTCCGCTCAGTGGATGGCCTCTAATTTTTCTGCAGTAATTATGTCGATCATCACGTTAGCTCTCGGGAGCAAATTACCCTTCAAGATACTATGGACGGTGTAGTCTACACTACTTCTCAATTTGGCTTGGATGGTTAGTATTCTTTGCTCCATGTCTTCATGTGATGGTATTTTTGTAAACGGCAATTATTCGGATCAAACAAATTTTAATCTTCTTGGCTATGCAGAGCGTTTCGGTGATGGAGATGCTTCACAAATTGGTTTAGATCTCGATGAGGTAACATATTAAAAGAAAAAAGAAACGAACGTCGTTTATAGTTTTTTTGTTGGTTTTTAATTTTTTTTTCATTTCTTTTTTTTTTTTAATTTTATTTTCGTGCTTTCTTGTTTAATATTTCCTCCAACCTGTTTGTAATTTGTGTCCCCCTTTCCCACCTACTGGTGACAAGCAGGAACTCTTTGTCGAAAAGATCATTGTTAAGGATCACGATGAGATTTCAGAGTAAGCATTATATATCTCTTCGGTATTTTAAAGCTTGTCCGCTCTATATGTAATACTGGTTCTTAGAAATGGAATTGTGTATCGAATGATACCGTCCCACTCCTGCAAAAAAAATATTTTATAAAAGTGTAGGATTTCTGATTGACTGAATTTCTCATTGTTTAAGTATTGTTGGAAGCATTTCCGTTTTTTTAGGCTGTTTCCCGTCTACCTGTTGATCCATGAACTAATTATTTGTATTGTTCTTTCTTTCTTTTGTGCGTGTGTGCGTGTGTGATTGTAGTAACGATCCTCGGGCACTTTCTCCATCAACAATCTTGAAAGACAAGGATGAAAATACGAAGGAAATCCTAGAAAACTTTGAGACGCTGCAGGTACGTGTTGATGGATTTCGAGTTAATATTGACTTACCATCATGTGATATCCCACGTCGGTTGAGGACGAGAACGAAACATTCTTTATAAGGGTGTGGAAACCTCTCCCTAGCGGACGCGTTTTAAAAACCTTGAGGGGAAGCCCGAAAGGGAAAGCCCAAAGAGGACAATATCTGCTATCGGTGGGCTTGAGCTGTTGTTACACATCATATCTCTATCTTTTGTAAACAATGGAATGTGTTTATACAAATTATCGTAAGAGCTGGCCACAAATTGTTGTTGTATGTTATGCAGGATCCATCATCTAATGTGAGACAAGTGGATGATTGTAACTTGTCTGGTGTTCAGGATAGTGATGGTTCTTTGAAAGTGGAAGTTCGGGGTACAGAACCGAAAGCCGTGGAGATTGAAATGAACGAATCCAGGAAGTCAGATATTAATGGTGGCCCGACCAATGTTTTAGATTGGTCTGCCCATAACGATTTGGATTATGAGACTACAAGACCCATGCATCTTAAAGAGAATGGCCATCTTTCTAGTGACCCGGAAAACAAAGATGGAAAACTCGAACAGTTTTCTTCGCCAGCTGACGAGACAATGGAAAAGATGAAAGGAGGTAATTACCGTTTAACTTTTTCTTGCATGGATTGTTTCGTGAAATCCTGAAAACCGTTCTTTGCTGTTTCTACCAAAAAGATAAAACTTCTGCTGTAAAACGCTCAAATGGATTACAGATGCATTAAATGGCTCAAGCACAGGAGAAGAAATGAACAGTGGAGTTGTAATAAACAATGAGCTTGAAATGACCTTTCTTGATCCCGTTGATGCAGAATGTGATCGCAGCAGATCTACGTTAGACGCAACGGCCATGTCTCCTAGTCGCTCTGGTGTCACCCCTGATTTTGAGGACATTGGACATAAAGCTCCTTCAGATAGCACATATGCATTAGCCTTAGAGGGTTGTACGATCGGCGATCAACCATCCTTAAAATCCATTGACAATACGGGTGAAGTGCTCTCAGCTGGAAGAGTTGCTCGAGATATGACATATCAAGAGGAATCTCCTGGTAGGCCTGAGGTTATCGATTCTGAATCCAAGGAATTTCGGGAGCCAAAGGACACCGAGACTCGGAATTCTTGTAATGGTGAAGAAACTACATCCACGGAGAAGTCTGTGCTACTGTCATGCAATTCTCGTGTAACTAGACCATCTCTTGAAGGTATTCGATCAGTGGTTTTACTATACTGTTGTTTAATGGTTATCTTATGAACCTTATTTCTTCTGGAGTTCGTGTCGTAGACATTGTTAATTTGAAAATTAGTCGATTAATCATTTGTGATTCTAGGTGAAAGCTGCCAAGCAACTGACGCTGTGACACAAAATTTGGAAATAAGTGAGAAAGCGGATACCGAAGTTCTGGAAGACAGGCAGGCTGGTTGCAGGGACTCCGACAAACATTTGGATTGTGCATTGTCTAATGATATTTGCACGGAGGTTTCGAATAGGTCTCCCACCTCAGACTTCCCAGCACCCGAGAAGTTGCTTTCTGTACCCGAGGGCCTTACTGAAATACACGGTGACAACTTATCATTGAATTCTTCACTGGACAAAGGAAACTTGGTCGAGGATGACGGAGGTGTTTCTGGAAGTAATCTTATGTCGGGGAAGAAGCGAAGCTTCACGGAAAGTACTTTAACAGCACAAAGTTTGAACTCAGCTGAGTCCGTTGGGGCGCACCGATCTAAGAGAGTTGCAGAATCCATTCCTGATGACGACGATTTGTTATCTTCTATTTTAGGTATTGATGCATTCCTTTTAACATCTCTGGGAAAGTGTGCCAATATTTCTGACTTTTCGATTGGTAGGCTCGATGTCACTGACTAGGTTTTTTTGTTGCTTTAGTTGGAAGACGATCTTCGGTTTTGAAAATGAAACCGTCACCTCCCGTGCATGAAACCATAACCTTGAAACGTCCACGATCGGCAGTTGGAGTTGGCATCTCAAAGAAGAAGGTGCTTATGGATGATATGATGGTTTTGCATGGAGAGTATGTATCTAGGCATCCATTTTTTTATTTTTTTTATTCTTTCATTAAATTTTTGATGGCTAACTTAACCGTAAATTGTTGTTCGTTTTCTATGGGTTCGAGACAATCCGTCAGTTTATAGTTTCTTGTTTGTTATTCAACTAACTTTTAACCGACAAGCATTTTTTGAAGTCACGACGTAACTCACCTTCATTGTAGTAAATGGATCTTCTTTCCTGCTGAGTGCTGAGACACTAACGTCATATGTACTATTATTATTCAGCACAATACGTCATCAACTTACAAGCACGGAAGACATACGTCGTGTTCGGAAAAAGGCACCCTGTACTCGTCCTGAAATTTCAATGATTCAGAGACAATTCTTAGAAGACGAAATTTTCAGTGAATCCATATATTCAGGTATTTTGTTATGCTAGATGATGAAATTTTCGCATCGCTTGCATTCGTTAAATAATCTCCCCTATCGAGCGTAAGTGAATAACTGCTAATGGCAAGGTCTTTTCGGTTTGCTTTAGGTATTTCCAAGGAACTGTCGTCATTGCATGCCGAAGCATTTGACCTTAGTGAAATCAGGGTTTACGAGAAGGAGCCAGTCAGTGCTTGTAACGAGGCAGGAAACGATTTCGAGTCTGCTATTAGACCGAATACCACTGAAGAAAGTGCAACAGAAACAGCCCCTGAAGAAGTCATTGGCAAAAATGATCTTCAATCTCAGCCTGCTCGGGCTACTGTGCAGAACGAGACTGAGTCGGCTCAAGAGTTAACATTAGAGTGTCCTGATCTAGATGTTCACGAGCAGCAGCAAACGACTTCAATTGAGAATGCTGGACAGGAACCCGGAAATGTTGCTGATGCAGCCAATAGCTTCGACATTCACGAGTTGGAATTACCTTCCTTAGTCATTGGGGATAAATATGATGATCCAAATGCTTCTTTGCAGAAAATATTGGAATCTCAGCACAGTGGTGATGATACTTTTACGGTGGATACCGGGAATATTGGTCTCGACACTGTTAGTGCTAGTGATTGCACTGAGATCAGAGATAACGTTAATGAAGAAAAATACGATCATAATGTTTCCCTTGTAATCTCGCCTCGAGAAAATGGTGAATCGAATTATCTGGCTCCTGAAAATGGTGAAAAACCTGATGAAAGCGTCTTAGATGTTAAGTTAGGGGAGATTGATGGGGATAGAGTAAATACAGCAGACGTCGCAAACGACGAGAAGGATGCAGCTTCTGTTTGTTTAATCGATGGAGCACCAATGGATTCTCAATATTCTTCAGGATTTCATCCAGACTATCCTGAAGAAGCTGATCTGCTCAATACCGTGGACACAGAAATGACTATCCTTGACCATCCTACTATAGCCGAAGACCGTGGTGTACGTTCTTCTTTTTAAAACACGAAAGGATCTTAGAAAAGTTGGTTCTTGTTGTACCGTTTATTTACGTCTGTACTTCTTTGCTTCCCTTTCGTCTAAAGTTCTCTTTGTGGTGCAGGACTTCGAGGATGTGACAGTGGCTAATGATATAGGTTCGAGTTTCTTGTTGCTTATTTTGACATTCTTGATTGTGTAGTAGTAGTCGGCTGAGTAGCACCTTAATAACTTGTCCTCTTTGGGTTTTTCCTTTCGGGGCCCATCCTCCTTGTTGGCATACCGCCTCGTGTCCACCCTCCTTCAGGGCTCAGTTTCCTCGTTGGCACATCGGCCGTGTCTAGCTTTGATACCATCTGTAATGGCCCAAGGCCACCGCTAGCAAACATTGTCCTATTTGGCTTTTCCTTTTGGGCTTCCCCTCAAGGTTTTTAAAACGCGTCTGCTAGGGAGAGGTTTACACACCCTTATAAAGAATGTTTCGATCTCCTCCCTAACCGACGTGGGATCTTACAGTCATGTTATTTTGCTTACGTAAGAGCGACTTCCGTTGGTATATTGCTGATGATATATATGTTTTTTTCGTCCAGAATTTTTGAACGAAGATGACGAGGCCGAAGAAGATGAGGACAACACGCAATTTGCAGCAGATCCTAGCTTTCTTGAAAACAGTGGATGGTCTTCCCGTACCAGGCATGTGTTCATTTCTGTATATTGTTTCTTATGTAACTCTCATGCTTGGTTAAAAAACACACTCAAAAGCCGCTTCGATAGTAATTTACCTAGGCTTCTGGTTGTGTAACAGCCCAAGTCTACCGCTAGCCGATATTGTTCTCCTTGGACTTTCCCTTTTGAGTTTCTCTTCAAGGTTTTAAAATGTGTCTATTAGGGAGGGGTTTCCATACACTTATAATGTTTCGTTCTTCTCTCCAACTAATGTGGGATCTCACAATCCATCTCCCTTGGGGCCCAACGTCCTCGTTGGCACACCACCCGATGTCTGGCTCTGATACCATTTGTAATAGCTCAAGCCCACCAGTATTAGATATTGGCCTCTTTGGGCTTTCCCTTTTGGACTTTCCTTCAAGGTTTTAAAATGCGTCTAATAGGGAGAGGTTTTCGCATCTTTATAAGAAATGTTTCGTTCTCCTCTCCAACCAATGTGGGATCTCACAATCCACTCCCTTTTGGGCCCAACGTCCTCGCTAGCACATCGTCTAGTGTCTGGCTCTGATATCATTTGTAATAGCCCAAGCCCACCGGTATTAGATATTGTCTTCTTTGGGCTTTCCCTTATAGGCTTTCGCTCAAGGTTTTAAAACACATCTACTAGGGATAGGTTTTTGCATCCTTATAAGAAATGTTTCGTTCTCCTCTCCAACCAATGTGGGATCTTACAATCCACCCCCCTTGGGGCCTAACGTCTTTGCTGGCACACCGCCTAGTGTTTGGCTCTGATACCATTTGTAATAGCCCAAGCCCACCGGTATTAGATATTGGCCTCTTTGGGCTTTCCCTTATAGGCTTTCGCTCTAGGTTTAAAACGCGTCTACTAGGGAAAGGTTCTCACATCCTTGTAAGAAATGTTTCATTTTCCTCTCCAACCAATGTGAGATCTCACAATCCACCCCCCTTGGGGCCCAATGTCCTTGCTGGCACATCGCCCGGTGTCTGGCTCTGATATCATTTGTAATAGCCCAAGCCCACCGGTACTAAATATTGTCCTCTTTGGGCTTTCTCTCAAGATTTTAAAACGCGTCTACTAGGGAGACGTTTCCACACCCTTATAAGGAATGCTTCGTTCTCTTCTCCAACTAATGTGAGATCTCACAAGTTGAATCTTCACCATTTCTCCAACTAATTTTTACGCCTAGTTCAGTTATATCCAACCGTCTACTGTTTTCATCGGAGAAGTTTTAACAGTAATATATGGGCTTTTTGGGAATACATTCCGGTGTTCTTTGGGCAGTCATCATGTACATTTGATACGTTAATTCTAACCAAAACCACTACTCGAGTCGCCTTTTGGTTTCCTTCATAATTTTACTGAACATGTTTTCATCGGAGTCAGACTTCTCATCTATATGTCCTTTTATTCCTTGTTACAGGGCGGTTGCAAGGTACCTTCAAAATCTCTTTGATAGGGACACTGTACATGGGAGAAAGGTCCTTTACATGGATAACTTGCTCGTTAACAAAACTCGGAAGGAAGCTTCAAGAATGTTTTTCGAGACACTGGTACGTCATTTTGAACCCTTATAGATTTATATCTTGTTAGGACCGAGGTATGATTACAAACTATGGTCTTGGTTTCTGAGTATGATTGTCGAACGATAGCTAGCTATCTAGGTTCGTGTTTGCTTGCCACAATTTCTTTCTACCCTAGTTGTGTTTGGCTCTTGATGTCATTGTAGTAGCTAGAAAAAGCTCGTAATGTAACAGCTCAAACCCACTGCTAGCAGATATTGTCCTCTTTGGGGTTTTCCTTTCAGGCTTGCCCTCAAGGTTTTTAAAACGTGTCTACTAGGGAGAAGGTTTCACACCCTTATAAATGGTGTTTCATTCTCCTCCCCAACCGACGTGGGATCTTACAATCCACCTCCCTTCAGGGTCCAGCGTCCTTACTGGCACACCACCTCGTGTCTACTCCCTTCGGGGAACAACCTCATTGCTGGCATATCACCCGGTGTCTGGCTCTGATACCATTTGTAACAGCCCAAACCCACCGCTAGCAGATATTGTTCTTTGGGCTTTCCCTTTCGGGCTTACCCTCAAGGTTTTTAAAACACGTCTACTAGGAAGAGGGTTCCACACCCTTATAAAGGGTGTTTCATTCTCCTTCCCAACCGATGTGAGATCTTACAATCCACCCCCCTTCAGGTTCCAGCGTTCTCACTGGCATTCGTTCCTTTCTCCAATCGATGTGCGATCCCCACCAAATCCATCTCGTTCAGGGCCCAGCGTCCTTATTGGCACACTACCTTGTGTCTACCCCCCGGAAACAACCTCATCACTGGTATATCGCCCGATGTCTGGCTCTGATACCATTTGTAGTTACCCAAGCTCACTGCGAACAGATATTGTTCTCTTTGAGCGTTTCCTTTCAGGTTTACCTTCAAGGTTTTTAAAACACGTTTACTAGGGAGAGTTTCCACACCCTTATAAAGGGTGTTTCGTTCTCCTCCCTGACCGATGTGGGATCTTACACGTAAAGAAATTGGGGTTCAAATGAATGACATCTGCGTCTTATTTGTGATTCGTTCGAACATGTCACAAACGTTATCCGTTCTCTCAGGCTCACATATTTCAATTTAGTTCCTATCTCTGTGACGCTTGTATTGGACGGGTGTCCAAAAATGATATCCGGTTGGATTCGGTTTACATCCTACAGAACTCTCGTAACCTACTCACCGACATCTTCTAGTTTTCGTGTTTCTGAATACATGCCATCTGCTAATTTTGCTGGTTCATTTATGCACAAACGTCACTATTTCTGCAGGTTCTCGTGACAAAGGATTACCTCCATGTAGAACAGGAAAGACCCTTTGACAACATTAGTATAAAGCCAAGAATAAATCTCATGAAATCAAATTTCTGATTTACTTTAGGAAAAGGCAGAGATACACAGCTGGAGGAAAACCCGAAAACCCGAAAATCAAAACCCAAATACCAAAATGGCTCCGGTAGGTGTTAGTTCGGCCGATGCTCCACTCGGGACGTCAATATAGCTGTTCCCATCATCAGAAACTCCTCTACTCTACCCAACACAATAATCTTTTGTTTGTTACTATTATTTATATATAATTGCTCTGTTCAAGCTAGACGTTTTATGTAAGCGGTAAGTGGCCAGTGAGTCTAACCGTGCAGTCGAGTCGAGTCGGGTCGAGTTGAGTCCAGTGGGGACGGTCGTGTATTAATGTGTTTATTGTACCATCTTTTGTATTATGACAGACACTCATGTATATATTATCTGTAAAAATAGTCTCCTGTTATTGAAGATGCTGATTTGTTTCTTAGATATCACATATGGACTATGCTTCAAAAGTTTTGGACTGTAAATATGAGAATTATAGCCTTTGGAAGTAGAGCGGTGTGCTCGGGAAAGTACCGCACGAGATCAATCAAATATCTCTGGCAGATCTTAGAAATTTGTATCTAACTGCCACATATGTATATGCTTTAGCCTTGACGGCTTGAAAGAGGCGTCTGTGGTAGAGACAATAGCCAAAGCACTAATCTCCGTAGATCATCCTTACTGTTACTATAATCGCTAATAGAATAGATCTATGAAGTTGAGTTTATGAAGGAGCCGCTTTGGCTGACCCGGCGTAGTTTTCTTGAGTGGTTGAAATAAGGTTTAACGACTCCTGAACAGAGTTTGTCTATGGCTTAGTAGACACCGTCGGTTGTACATGTGTCCTTTACTTTTACCTGAAAAATGTTAAACATAGTACGAGTCTTTACAAATGTTTAGTAACTGATCACATTATTAGGGTCGGAAAAACATTTACATACAATACATCATGATAGGTAAAACCTAGTTTTCGTGACGGTTCATTAGGCATTAATTTTTTCAATTAGTTTTCGATGTTAAGCTTGTAGGCTCGTAGAGAAAGTCATTTTGCAGGTATACCCATGGATCTATGTTCCTGAACAGTCTCGGAGAAGGCCACCAGCACCCGACTTACCAGAATGTCCCGTGGCAGCACCATGAAAGTCTTGGTTCCTCTTGGAAGCACCATATCAGTATTGAATTTTAACCGGAAGTAGTCCTGGAGAGCAGAAGATCAAGAATAAAACACACAACCTCTCCCCGCGTAACGAAAAGTTAGCTTAACGAGTGAAAGTGTTTCAAATCAAAGAGCAAGCCCATTTACGAACGTGTATTAGTCCATAATTAGGCCCATAGAGATATTAACAAATTCGTCTAACGGGTTCAAAATAAATATCATACATATACCTCGGTTATTTTTTTAGGTAATTTAGAAATTAAGTATTTTTTTAAAAATATATCTAATTTAAAATTAAATATTATTTAGTCTATTTCAATAAATTAAAAAAAATACCATTTTTGCCTTTTTATTTATTTATTTTTTTTATTATTATTTTTAATATCGACGTATTGTTAATTTGAAATAAGAAATATTATATATATATATATATATGTAAAATAAAATGTAGATAAACAAAAAGAAGTGGGTCCCACAAAATTATGAGGAAAAAAATATTATAAATTAAATCTAAATTTTATATTTTAAATTGATAATTTTAGAACTCAAAAATAGAGCGTAAAATTTGGTTTTTTTAAGGGTAATTTTGACTTTTAATATTATAATTATTATATATATATATATATCAATTAAGGTCGTTGGTGAATAGTCCAACGGCCGTTCATTACTTGCTTAGTCAACTTTTGCACTTATCGGTAATAACAATAAAACGAGAGTTCAACAGTTTCTCTTCCGGAAAAATCAGCCGCCGATTTCCTGAAATTCGCTCACTTGTTCATACCTGTAACCGATTCTTCCTTCGATTTTGTAGCGATGGCGGAAGTGGAGAACAAGCAAGTGATATTCAAAGGCTACATTGATGGAGTTCCACAAGTGACGGATTTCGAACTCAAAGTTGGGAAGATTAAGCTCGAGGCTTCCAATGGATCCGGCCATTTTCTCGTCAAGAATCTCTTCCTTTCTTGCGATCCTTATATGCGAGGCCGTATGCGCGATTTCCACGGTTCTTACATTCCCCCTTTAGTTCCTGGCCAGGTACTGTTCTTTTCTGTGATTCATTTTCTGTTTCTTGTGTTGGTTGTCTCTGTAAGGAGTAGAGGTTTGTTACAACCTTCGATTTTTGTTTCGGATTCATAACATACTGGATAACGCGGTTTGATTTCTGGATGTCTTCTACTTTCCTTGTCGGCGGGCTGCAATGTATGTTATGAATCGTTGATCAGATGTACCGTAATTTATTGCTTAGGCTGGATTCAGGGGTTTGTTGATGTTAGGGTTAGTATTAATCGAATGGATCTACTCCCAGTATACATAGTTGAGTTTGGATCATTTGTGATAGAAATTTAGAAATCTCTGAAACACGTTTTGTTGGTTAGGTTGTATTAGTTAGAGGACTTTGTTTTCGTTCTTTTAGCCATTGTTATAAACTGAGTATTTACTTTGTTTGCTCCCTACACTTAAACCAAATTGGTACCATGTTAGGCCAAACTCAAACAAATTTATGTTTCATCTTAGAACTATTTGATTTTGAAAATTAAACTTATAAGTACTGCTTTTATCGATAATTTTCTTTGTTTTGTTATATACTTTCTACGAATGATTTAAAATAAAATGAGCCCAATTTCATAAACTAAAAAAAAGTTTCTAAAAACTTGTTTTTACTTTTGAATCATTTCTTAAGAAAAGGTGAAATCCACCCCAAAGAAATGGTGAGAAAACAAGCATAAATTTTAGAAACAAAAAAGAAAAAACAAAATCCTTATCAAACAAGGTTTTAAGTGTTGAGGATTGTCGGGAGGGAGTCCCACATTGGCTAATTTAGGGAATGATCGTGGGTTTATAAGTAAGGAATACACCTTCATTGGTATGAGGTCTTTTGGGGAAGCTCAAAGCAAAGCCATGAGAGCTTATGCTCAAAGTGGACAATATCATACCACCATTGTGGAGAGTCGTGATTCCTAACATTAAGTTTGCTCATATTTCATTTGGATGGAGAAGATAATGGTCATGAAGTGGTTGAAACTTCTGTATCCACCAGTAAGTATTTGAAGAGTAATGCAGATTAAGTTTACATTATATAAGGTAGTGATGGTGTAAGCTAAGGTGACTCTTGTCTTCATCTCTTTATTCACGACCATCCCATACATATATTTAATAAGGCATATGCTATGGGCATCCTTTTTTCGCCCCAAACTTTATGTTTATGGCAACAATGGCAATGCCAAGGTGAATCTCAGTGTGAGGGAAGCTCAAAGAGGTTGTTTTCTCCCTCCTCTTTGAACTTTGAAAAAGGAGAAAATACTCTTAGAATATCCATGGCATGGAAGAAACAAAGAAGTTTACTTTCAAATTCAAGTTTTATTTTGTTGCAAGGAGACAGTTTATAGTGTATGTATGACGAGTAATATGAGATTGTGTTTTGGTAAAATGTTCCTTACTTCACGTTATATCTTGTGAAGCCAATTGAAGGCTTTGGGGTTGCTGAAGTTGTGGACTCTGATGACTCCAATTTCAAGCCTGGTGACATTGTTTCAGGCTTTACACGTTGGGAGGATTACAGCTTAATTAATCAGGGAAGTTTTCAGCTGAGAAAAGTTCAGCCAGACGATTTTCCTCTCTCATTTCATGTTGGTCTTCTTGGTATGTTTTCTTCCTCAGTGGAAATAAATAGCTCTTTTTTTCATGGTCTTAAACTCCATTAGGGTCTTAGACTCCATTAGTTATTTCTATTGATATTGCTATTAGTGGCTATATTCCACCTTACCAGACTGATGTTATGGGGGTCCTCTTCCAAAATCCTACATGAAAGGAAATTCTTGTGAAGTTGACTACCAGGATCAGTTTCTTACACATTTGTTCTGTGCCATGTGCAAAAACTATCATTATTATGTTCACGATTTAGTCACGTAAGTTAATCATTTGTTACTAAGCTTGTGATCTTAATTCAAACATATGAGGGTAACAACTGTTTAGGATTGTTGGGAGATGAGTCCTACATCAGCTAATTAAGGGGTTGATCATGAGTTTATAAGTAAGGAATACATCTCCTTTGGTACGAAGCCTTTTGGGGAAACCAAAAGTAAAGCCATGAGATGTTATGCTCAAAATGGACAATATCGTACCATTTTGGAGGTTCGTGGTTCTTGCCAACAATATGCTAATTTTGGATTAAGCAATTGAAAGGCGCGTCATTGTGTAGTCAATTATAGCTTTGTTGGTCTGAACAGGAAAACTCGATATTCAAACATCACTCCTTCCATTCTTACAGTAGTTGTCCTTTCCACTTTGTTTAAGATGATCTTGAAACTATGGAAATTTAAACAGGCATGCCTGGATTTACTGCTTATGCGGGATTCTTTGAGGTTTGCTCCCCGAAGAAAGGCGATTATGTATTTGTCTCCGCGGCATCTGGAGCAGTTGGTCAACTCGTTGGCCAACTTGCGAAGTTGCATGGTTGTTATGTTGTAGGAAGTGCTGGAACAAAGCAAAAGGTAAAATCTCTTTGATTCCCTGTGGTAGGGGAAGCATTTTAGTCATCAATTTTCATTTCAAGAACTCAAGACAAAATATATTGCCAGGAAATATTAGGATATTAGATCACATTAATCATTAGGTTGGAGGAGTTCATCTGGTAGATTTTGGAAAATGGTTTTGGGGGAGTTCAAATCATCTTGAATGTTTAGTACCCATGCAATTTTCTTTGATACTGCAATTTATTTTCGGTCCTGTTCATTACTAATCATTTCAATGATCATCTTAGGTTGATATTCTGAAGAGCAAACTTGGATTTGACGAAGCTTTCAACTATAAAGAAGAGTCAAACTTGGATGCAACTTTGAAAAGGTGAGCAATCAACGAGTTCTATGATGATATAAATTTGATAAATCATCAGCGCCGATCTGATGAAAAACAAATTATTTGCAATTATTTATTTATTTGTTAGTTATCTCAGCATTAGGAAAAGGTACAGAAAAACTATTGTGCACACTGAATTATTCAAGATAGCTCTTGTGAGTAATAGGTTTAGAAGAATGGAAAAATCTGAGACTCCAGTCCGGTCAATCATGCTTGTCAGCTTGAATCACCCTTTGATCTCTTTCTTCGATAGGACGATCCGGCTCTCCACATGGTTATATTTGCCTTGGTTTTTTTCCAATGAAACGAAACACTTTTTTGTCTTATCATTCTTAAGGCTCAGTCCCACACTCTGACTTCAATAAAGGATCTTAGAGACCCACCAAAGAACGAAAGTCAGAATCTTTTGAAGGG